TTAAAAAAACATTAATTTTTTTAAGTTTTCTACAAAAAATATTAAACTAGATATTCAAAAAAAATACAAATTTAAATATTCAAAGAGAATATTATTGCAGGTATATTCGAGAGATATCTTTTCTAATAATCCGGTATTCGCAAAAAAATATTAATTTCAAGTTAATCAACGCGCGAACGATGATCATGGAGAAGTGTGCCAATTGTAGGTATTCATTGATCTTGACCTCGCCAGGTATTTTCCTTGTGATCTCGAATTTGCACTCTCTCCTGTAATCCGAATCCTGTTTCTATCTAAAATTATTCGGCCGACACGACACTAACCATAAGGTCGACGACCCCGGATGGGATTCTAGCAATAAATAGTATGAGTATGTGCGAACCACTCGACGTAACGGATAATGGGAGAGTACATTCTACGATTGCACAACCGTGCTCCATAATTATATTGTTACATATCTCATTTGAAAAAGTATATAATACACGTGATGTAAAGAAATATATGTAAAGCGAAAACACACTACGTGATTACGATTAAAGCGATATTCTATATATACTTCGACATTTAAAATTCAAATGTTTCAAGCATTGAGTAACATAAACGATAATGTGTGCGATGCCACATTACAGAACGTGTCGGTAATGAAATGTTATGTAGATAAATATTGTCGCATAGAAAATCCTCTCTGACATTTTCCAATTACTAATAACGTTCTATACATTTCAATGTGCAAAGCAAATTCATATGAGTATTTACATTTTTATTATGAAAAATAAAAAGTCATGTATTAATTTAATATAATTTTTAAACATTCAAAATTTTATCGATATTTAATCGGAATTAGTAATCTATTAAATTACAAAAATTTATTTCCGATTTTAATTTATCATTACAGATCGAGATATGTGCGAGAAATATATGCACTTTTAAAAAAATTTTTCCTCTATGTGCATAACATAAAAATGTTTTATAAAACAATTACTGTTTATACAAACAAAATAATTATACACGATTAATCAAGCGTGATAAAGCAAAGGCAAATACGTGATAATCTGATTTATCATGTCGTGATTTATAATTTTAATTTATAAAGAAGGTGCGGTAGTGGATCAAATATATAAAATCTCACATTTGACCTATCGATACAACTGTCATAAAAGATATTGCATCCGTGAAAGGGATCTTTCACCCCTTTAGGAACCAATCGACTGTTGCTATCGATTTATCACCAACCAACGGCGAACATATAAACGTTTCTTTTCTACAATACAAGTTGATGCTGTCTTTCCTATTTTTTATCTTTTCGCTCAAAACTGATTCTTCGAAATGGTATTTTTTATCAAGTTATCGTCTGCTGCAGAAAATTGTATTAGATTGATCATATCACTTTTTCACTAAACAGATAAATGCACTTTCCTCGCGATTACTTTCACATATTTAAATACGTTTTGCACAATTTTCACATAAAAATGTACGTACACTATCAACATACTTGCACTCCCATAATATTTATTCTTATATTTAATTTCATTTATATGAAATTACATTATTTTATTTTATAGTGTATTTTATTATATATATTTTTGCCCTTACATTTAATAAAATTCTCTCTTCACTTTTCAAATAAGACTACATCAAAACAATCATTCTTTTCCCTTCGCGTAATAGAGTCATTCACGAGGAACGGGAGAAAATTACTAAGGGATGTTCTCGTCGTGATATTTGCTTCGGCGAAGGAGATGTCCCTTCCCACTTGCTCAACGCATATCTCTTTCGATTTCCTTCGGCAATCCGCGGCTTCGTTAGTAATTTAACGTCGATCGAAGGACGAATAAAATATTCTCTCTTCCTTCGCGCTATCCTTTTCCACAGCATTTGAAAGAAAAGGGCCGCCTACGCGAAAAAAAACAGGTTGAACGTCTTCAATTATTCTATCATCCCAGCGAGTTCCGTGATCCGGAAATGATGCAATGACGGTTTAATAACGCGTGTCATCCTGATATCGGTTGCGTTCAAGACTCTCCGAAGTTTCTGAAATCGTTCTCTTGACACACTTTCTTATATCTGATGGCATCTCTATGATGCCATTATTCTATAAGATCTCTTCACAATATATTCTAGATTAATCTAGAAGCTAGAAGAATAGTAGTTCGTCGTCGTACAATTTTTTTGGCTTAATTCGTTCAAACTTTGATCGAATCGGAAATTACTATAAGACGCAGTAATTATATATTTTAATTTTCGTTTCCGACCGGATAAGAGCGGATGCTGCCTACAGGTGCTAACGTTTAACATCTCCCACGTCCCTTCGACGGCAGCGTCGCGACGCCGACTGAGGAGCCGGAACTCGGATCGCTTTGAAACCGACGCTACGATCGCAGGGCCGTATTAACTGCATATATATATATATATATAAAGCTCAAAAATAATGTACTACAAAGTTTTCTCGAATTCCCAACTGTATTTAGTTACTCTATTAATTAATAATTATTTTTTATAAGTAAATTATAATTNTCCTCCGAATGATTCTCGTACAATACGAGCATTTCTATGATATTTCGCCAGGACACAAGGAAATATTCCTTCGTTTTTTTTGTGCAGTTAGCATTTTAATTGAATGCAAACAACACATCAACCTCACCTCTTCATATGTTTATTCAACGTAATTAAAAAGCATTTCCCGACCGCATGGAATTTTTACGCGTAGAAAAATATTATCTTTTTATTTTTGGAAGAAATAAATAATATAAAAAATATAAAAAAATAAAAAATAATATAAAAATGGACGAGAGTATAATATCCGGAATTAATGCAGAAATTACCAATCTGCAATTATTAATAATAACGCTAATTATTATAAAATTGAGCAAACTTGATACAAGATGGAAGCACAAGATATTATCTAATGCTTTATCAGACTATATCGATTTTTCATATCATTTTATATCATTTTTATCTTTTGCCGCGTTGTTATAAATTCTTTTGTAAATTTGCATCATTATTTTTATATTAAAAAAATATCAAATATTTTCAAATATTTTTTATTTATATATTATTTAATATATCTGCTGAATATATATATCAAAGTTATAAAGATATTGAAAAAAGAATAATCTAAAATAAATTTTTTATTAAATTTCAAGACAATAGTTGAGCGGTAAAAAAATTCACAAAATATATAACTTCAAGATATACAATTTTCGATGCGCATTTAATTTTTTGAAAAGTTGACTACATCAAATTCGTGTGTAGATTTACAATCAATTGATTGCTGTATCTTTTTGCGTGATAATGATAAAATTAGCGGATCTTGCCCGTAATATCACATAATGTACGAAACAACCTTCGAAACGAGTCATAATCGCAATCGAGCTTGCCATCATTTATATTCGTGGAAATAGCCACCGGAAGATTAACACGAATGCCAGTAATACAACTTTGAGGACATGTGTCTCGAAGAATCGAGACGAAAATCGGACCAGAGAAAGTGACTCATCGAGTGATTTACGACGATCAATGTCATTTCAGAGAAAAAGCTAACGATGGAAATTTATTTTTAGAAATAAATGATTCACACGAAAAGCGAAATGAAAAGGCGCTTTTGTATTTTCTCAAGTCTAGTAAATGACGTTAATTGAAGAGGAAAGAATAATTGCGTCTTGAAGAATATAACGAGTATATTAATTCATTCGTTACATACACCTGTCGCCGAACATTCGTATGTGTTTAAGACATTACAAATGAATATCAAACTGACTTTTACGATAAAACTGACATACCTTTTATCGAGTTCAACCGTAATAACAAATGCTGCTGCCCGAATGAAAAAAAGTGGATTCGGTGAATGCATTTTGCATTTTTCCGTGTGTTTCCAAGTCCATTAAAATCCTCAAAACGCAGAATTGATATTCATAGAATGCCTCACTTTAATTTTTGATCGCGAACCTAAAAAATTAATTTATTATGAGATTCTAAAATTAATTTATCATAAGACTATACTAACACATTTTAAATTAAATTAATGACATTTTAAAATAGAATTGATGAATTTATATTCCTTGTTACATATTCAAAAACTTTTGTACGACAGAAGGTCACTTTCTCGTAAGAGATGATGCTTTTTTTATCACTTTATAAAATTTCGTCGAGAATGCTCGCTGATTTTTCGCTGCCGTTTCAGCTTTCATCTCCGACATTTCTCGAGAAAGAAACAAATTTGCCAAAAGGAATACTTTGCTATATTTCTAGTATATGTGGTTAGGTCGCATAAAACTTTCAAGAGAAATTTGTCATTGAAAAATAATACAAACTAACATTAAGAGAAATGAACACTCCATATTACTATAATCATCTTTAGTAGTAAATGGACATTCATAGTGAGCAATATTTGTAGTTTATAGTAATAGATGTAAACTATAGTGTGCAAAATTATTTTAATTTATCACGTGGAAAAGAACTTAGGATATATAGAAGAGTAAATAAAAAATGAATAAAAAAAATCGAACACGAGCTTTTTTAATATCGAAGACTCGAACGAGAACAAAGATAAATGCGTGTATTTGTTACGGATAACTTTGCGCTTTGAATGCTACCATCGGCAAGTATGAAAAATACATGCACTCGACGCATATCATCGCTTCATTTATTTCGCAGTGAAAATGCGAAACTATAGTCAGACAGATGTAAACATTCATGCCATATCCTATATAGCACAGAACATTGCCGCAATGTTGCTGCAATGTTCTGTGCTATATGAGACGTAACATACTTTTTCGACTTTATATTTCTGGAAAAAACATATATGTTATTGCTTTCACGTTCTGATGTTCTTGCAGGCTCGTGACGATGCATGATTATTAGGTGTATACAATAATTTTTTTTTTAGAAAATTTTATGAGAATAATTCTATGACGGTGCAATTATTTTTCTCTAAATATACGATTCTTTCTATTTACAAAACATTACAAGTCTCTGTAGACATTTCGTAGATTTTTTTATAAAAATTTGACGAATAAAAATAATCTCTGACTCTTTTTCGACTTGGCGACATACGAGCACAAAGGGTTGGGACTCGAAATAACGAGTGATTCAAAAAATATTCGCGACGCGCGAAGGCGATGATCAGAACGTTTATTTATAAATGCATTTTTTTTCAACGCCGATTAACTATATTTATCCGATATATATTTATCAGAATCCAAAAAAATGGCAATCGCGCGCTAAATTTATGATATATATATATTTAAATAAGTCTTAACTTTTGGAATTTGTATCGCGTTTTACTTCATCCCCGAGATTTAAGAAACAAAAGATAAACCGCAAAAAGCATGCCTAAAATAACCGCTTTCGAAATCATCAACATCGGCAAGAAGAGAAAAAATGAAGTGTCGCCTTTGTGATAAAAATAACGCAAGTTTTGTAACACATGAATCGGTTATACCTTAAAAACTTCAAAAACGGCGTCATAAAGTTTGAGATTAAATATAATTTCATTCTTGATTATGACTTAGTTTGATTACAAAAAAAAGATATTACATTACAAGATTTTCTAGGATATCATTATTCCTTTCATTTGCAAAATCTGTTTTAAAAAATTTCACTTATTTCCATATGTGTATTTAACCTTTTTAATTGTTGAAATTAAATAAACGAAAATTTTCTATTGATAATTATAATAATTTATTTAAAGCAACGAGAATAATGAGCAGCAGTAATATAATATTGTATTTAAATAAATAATTAAAATTAGATAATTAGAATATCAGAACAAAATAAATATAAAAATTAATTTTTATTAATAATTAATGAAAACGTTTTAAACTTAATTAAAAAAAGGAAAATAAAAAAAATTAAGATAAATGAGTAGAATAAATATACATATGAGTAAAATAAATATTATACATATATAACTACATTAATAATAATAATGTGCAATAATTGCAATGGCCGAAAGTGCAATAATGAAACTAATCAATATCAAAAGTTATATAGAAATATATAAGAGAGATTACTTGTATATAAAAAATAATCTTTATACTAATTCTTTTATACACATAGTAATAAGCGAAGAACAATAATGAAAATATTTGATTTCAATAAAGACAAAATTACCTGTATGCAAAAAAAGATCGTAATATGAGAAAGTATAAAACGGAAACGATCTAAATGAACATTAATTAGTGAATATTGGCTCCATCTGTTGTCGAATCGTTCAACTTATTGTTAGTGTTATAAGCGCCAATATATTAAAAGCGCTTGATTGACTAATTCAAATAAAAAGATCTTTGCTTCTTGTGTTTAGTCGAATATAGCCATTAATACAAAATATAATAAAAAGACTTGAAAAAAATAAGCTTATATGACCAGCTGATTTATCAAACCATTAAAAATTTCCCAAAACAAAGTATGAGAGCGTACATTCATACTCTTTGAACAGAAAAAGAAATGAAGTCGTAAATGTAGAAAGTGTAAAAAGAGCAAACCTGTATAAAGAGCAACGCTTCAACGCGCGGGATGAACAACTTTTGCAAAGATAAAAGAGATTCGTGTTCCTGTTAGAATTACAAATTTTATATTTTCTTCTCATCCTTCTGCCTCTTTCTTTCCTTCCAAAAATTCCGAATATACACTTATTTCATTGTACGTGAGACAGGTAAGGAGCGTAACACACAGTGCTGAGAAAGAAATAGATCTGAAGAGAGACTCTCCGTGAACGTAGGCCTTTAACAGCGGCGGCCAATCGGCGCGCGCGTTACCGCGCACCGATTGGTCGCCGCATCGACGTAGGGACGCGCGCACTGATTGGCCAATCGCCATCGAAAGGTTTGCGATCACGGAGCGTCTTTCCACCGGGCTTTATTTCCTTCGGCTGTACTGTATTACGAGCGTGGCCGCAACAGCGACCTTGGCGGGAGCAACGGCTGCGCTAACGGTAGGCGCCCGCAAACTCTTCGGAAAAAGGCAGCGTCGGAGGGAGCGGCGGGGAAGGGGGAGGGGGGAAGACAGGGACAGCGCGCTTTCCGTGTCGCCCATTGTTGTCCTCGTCGCGCGTGTAATGGCCACCGCGAACATTCGTTAACGCGTCGCACGCACGGTAAGCCATATCGCGCCCCGGCCTAGCCCGTGCCACGGATAAAAGCCGCGAGTCGTGTCCAGTTGCGTATAACATCGTGCTCGGCAGTTTTATACCCGCCATCGGCGAAACGGACAGAGAGCGAGCGCGCGAGAGAGGAAGCGGGACAGAGGGTGAAAGGGGAGCGACAGAGAGAAAACGACGTACACGACGAGGAGGAGCGGCGGCGGCCGCGCGCTTCGTACCTACAGTCGCCGCAACCGCCACCGCGCCGCTCTACGCAGCCGACCATGATTTGCGCGGGCCAACACTGCTGGTTGACAAGCGTGTGATTACGACGGGGTGATTATTCGCGCGCGCTCCGACCGCGTGCCGAAGCGTTGCGAGAGCGGCCAGGCTTAACCAGCCAAGCCAAGCCAAGCCAAGCCAAGCCAAGCCAAGCCAAGCCAAGCCAAGCCAAGCCAAGCCAAGCCAAGCCAAGCCAAGCCAAGCCAAGCCAAGCCAAGCCAAGCCAAGCCAAGCCAAGCCAAGCCAGGTAGATAGGCGGGAGTTGGAAGCGAGCGATCCGGACGCGGATCACGATTTTGGATGACGCGGCCCAACGCCGGGACCTAACGCCGGGAGGAAGCGTCTGTTGAAAACGCTTGCCGAACGCCATTGATTTCTCGCGTGGACCGATCGAGCTCTCCGCAACGACGAGAGAGCGTCGCGCGCGCGGCACAACACGAGGGGAAGAACACCCACTACTTCCCCCACTCCCCCCGCCCCTGTGTACTCGGTTCTCTTCCTCCGTAGATGTTGAACGCGAGTCGAGCATACACAACCCGAGACCCTACGCGAGATCGTCCTCGGGGTAAGCCACCGCGCGGCATTTTGCATCATCCCCGTCATGGCAACTAGAGGATCATCGGTTACCACTCGGCAGCCGGACTTTTAACCCCGCGGCTCGTCGGACTATCACACGTGAGTATGTTTATCAGTATGTCGGATAAGTGATACGTTTTCGCGCGCGTCGAAATGAGAAGGCGCGAATGTTCGCTAGTCGATTTATTCTTCTCCCTTTCGTCTTCTTCGCATCGCACTTTCCTGCTGGGTCCATCGCGTCAAAGCCGCGTCTTTTCTTTCTCTTGACGTGGCTTTGATCAGGGGGTTCGTCCTCGCTTAGGGTAGAATCTTCCTTGTTGCTTTTCGCATACCTTGCACGTTCTCGCTTTTTAAGCCGATAGTTTTTACAATGACTGCCTATTGATTGTGCAGGGTCAAAGGCAATACATCAATGGCCCTAGAATCAAATGGCAACAACGTGGTGTGGTTGAACACAACCCGTCCTGATCAAATACAGCAGGTATGCGTCGCGTGCAAGGCAAATTAATGACAAGCGAGGAAGCGTGTATGTTTGCGAACAATGATCAAGTACTGGTTTAATTCGATTTTTATAAATATGTAATTTGCATTTGAGACTCGTGTTTGAGATATTGCAAATATGAACTTAATGTAATATAATTTCTCTTATTCTCTTTATTGTATCTTTGATATTAAAATATTGTCTAACGAGTTTCTCTAAACCAACAGAGTCAACCGATCGAGCAGCCATTGAAGTGTTCCATGTTTACTCAAACGGAGCAGACTAACAGTTTTACTCAGACAGAGCAGAGCAATTCGAGTTACGGAGATCAGAGACAGGTTTGTTCGTCATTAATTTCCCTAATGAATAAAAACTATATAATAGAGAAATAAACTTGCTTTTTTCTCTGTTCAACTAATCGTTTTAAATGATTTTTTTTTTTTTTTTTTTTTACAACAGCAAAAAAAAATTTTTGGACAAGACTTTTACGAGAAAGAATTATATGTTGAATCTGGTACGCTCTGTATAAATACGTTTTTCTACAGCAGCAAACAGCAATGTTTGACCCACAACAGATCCAGCAACAGCAAGCTGCTGCGCAGGGTCAACAGTCGCAGCAGCAGCAGTCTCAGCAGATGTATGTCACTGACAAGAAGGAGGACAAGTCTCAGCAGCAACAACAGTCCACCACTTCCGAGTTCCCTTCCTCTTTCTACTACAACGTCAACATGCTGCAGAAGGTTCAAACAAACGCGGTGAGCACAATCAGTGCAATCGCCGACGACAAGGGTTGTTATCGTTTCGATGTGCAACCTGTTGGTTATAACACATTACTGAATCAGATGAGCATTGCCGCTGCCACCAATGCGACCTTCAAGTGTGACATTTGCGGACTGGTCTTTGGCCATGTGAGCCTGCTGCAACATCACAAACGGATTCACAACGCGACACCCAACAGTAATCTGCCGCAACAGCCACAGCAGATTGTAGTACAAGGACCGACAACAGTGACTGTCGCCACCACGCCAGAAAGACCATACACCTGTGACACTTGTGGAGCGTGTTTTGCATTACCGGGAGAATTAAAAAGTCACAAAACAAACATGCATCAGAAACCTAAGGTGCAAATCTGTGAAGATTGTGGCAGTGAGGACCCATGCGAACATCATCCAACTAAAGTTAAAAAGAGTATGTCTAGCAATCATTTTCAATCGTAGTTAGTGTGTTTGTTTCACAGTGATATCATTGATTTCAATGGCAATGTAATGGTAAAGGATTTAATCGATATTATTTTACACTAAAAATTATTACTAAAAATGTTATCATTACAAATATAATGTATTATAATCCATACCACACCTAGAATACAATTATTCGTGAACTTTGCTTTAGTTGTAATGCAAATTGTTGCCATTGCGATATCACCTATAGTCGGATATGCGAAATTTATTCAACATATAAATAGAGATATGCATTTGTTTGTGCAGCTATCAAACCTGGTCATCATCCTGTGAAACGGAGGGGTGTTACCAGTGTCACCAAGTGTCACAAGTGCAATGGCACCGGGATTATTTTTATTGGTAAGTATCAGTGCTGCTAATTTTTAATTGTTGATTGGCCATTTGATACCGCTGATAGGCCAAAGATGTTGCTGATAAAATGCGGCGTTATTTTCCTTTTAAATTCTTGAACTTAGATTCAAGTTTTGATATTGATACAAGCATATCGTCATAAACGATACGCAGGCGCGCTATTATATACGTATCAGCAACATCTTGTTCAGATTTTTGGTCATCCTTTCCCATCCATACGTTTCATTATTATCATGATCGTACATCGGATGATGTATGGTAGGTAAACACGACGAAAAACTAGATTCCGGAATCAGTTCCCTCGCAAAGTGTGGCGGCTGCAAGGCTACAGGCCGTATCGTCATAGGAAGTAAGTCGGACATAATTATCGTCAACACACAGAGTATGGGATCTGTTTTGATTAATATTTCAGTAATATTGTCTTTCTTGGATAGTAATAATTCAAATTAATTCTCCGCGATATATTCAGTATTTGCACAGATTTCTTGCTATTTGAATCAACAGCGCGCCGACATCTTTATGATTTATATAGAAAAATATTGAATTACATTGTACAAAGAAATATATTGAAATTAATTTAATATAGATTATACAAATTCACCGACTCTCAAACTAGCATTTAAAAAATATTAATTTAAATCAATCAAAAAGCTTTTTTACTAGACATATTTATTAAAACTACTCAAAATGAAAACTTTTGAGCATTTTCAATAAATATATCAAAGAAATGTATACCGATGAATCTAAATTGATATTTTCTAAACATTGAGTCTAATGTTACTTATTTTTCTTTAATATTATTTTTGCTTGCATGTATATTTTTGTAGATGGAAAATATATTATTCTATTATTCTCTTTCTTCTTTTTATTTTATTATTTTTTAATATGTCTTTATTTAATATTGTTATGACAGATTTCAAACTGGTTGTGATTTTTTTTTTTTTTTAATTATTTTTTTAGTTATTTTTTCTTTTCTTTTTTAGTAGAACTGTTGACATCTAAATTTAAGGACGATGGCACAGAATAAAATCCCCTAAGGGACAGTTTTATAAATTTATCTTACATTGTAACGTTTTCTATATAGAAGATAAGCTATACTGATAAATTTCCGTTCAGCCATTTACGATTCTTTCAATTCTTTCGCGACATGGCCCATTAGAAATCATTTTTCATAGACACGTGATAGAAACAAAGCCACAGAGTTTCATATCGCTCTCTTGTGGCATCCAGATTTTCTTATAGTGCACTAACTTTTACAATAGCCTGCATGATTGAATTTTACACAATTGTTACATTTAATTATTTCATTTGGTGATTTCACATTCCATATGTATACATTATCCCTTTTTTGAATGTATGAAAAAAGTAAATACTAGTACCATAAACAAATTTGCATCGCGTAGACTGATAGTTTTTTCATAAATGAACTTCGAGCTTATCACTTTTTTGTAGAACTGGCCCTTTGAGGAAAACTAAAGTCTTGTCTATATTTTCAATTTCAGGTGGCAAACAAAACAGTCAGAATCAGGCGGAGAAACCATTTCACTGTAACGTTTGTGACGGTACATTTTCTCGATATTCTTCGCTTTGGTCCCACAAGAGACTTCACTCGGGAGACAAACCATTTAAATGTGAAGTTTGTGGTTTAGCATTTGCAAAGGGTAAGTAAATAAAGAATTGTGTAAACCGCAAATGATAATGAGGTATACTCGTTTCTACGTGTAATGACTAATCAGCTTATATAAGCTTATTTTATGACGAAAATTGTTATCGCGCTTCTTTTTTCCGCCAGCTGCCTATTTAAAAAATCACGGACGAGTTCATACTGGCGAGAAACCGTTCAAATGCAGCGTTTGCGGTATGCAATTTTCGCAAAGTCCACATTTGAAGAATCACGAGCGAATTCATTCCGGCGAACGACCGTATCAGTGTGAGGTTTGCGAGAAAACATTCGCCAGACACTCGACGCTCTGGAATCATAGAAGAATCCACACTGGCGAAAAGCCGTACAGGTGTAACATTTGCGGTTCCGCTTTCAATCAAGCCACACACCTCAAGAATCACGCAAAAGTTCATACCGGCGAAAAGCCACACAGGTAATCTCGTGTTCGGAATTTGGATTATTGAAGTATTTTGTTTGTATTTTTGATTGCACAAGAAATTAAATATTTTGTTCCCTCAGGTGTGATATATGCGAGATCGGTTTTTCCGATCGTTTTGCGCTCAAGCGTCACCGTGCAATTCATGAAAAGTACGGTCAGACGGCGCGAAACCAGAACGCTAATAATCCGGCTAACGCACAGCAAGCCAACGCAAGTAGTCAACAACAACAGCCGCAGCAGCAGCAACAGCCGCAGCAGGCGCAACAAGGCCAAGTCGTGGTTGTGAACGCGACCACTCCCGTCACCGTCAGCCAAGGGCAAGGTCAAGTGATGCTCGACGAGGTCTACAAGTGTCAGGTGGCCTTCCCAGAGCCTAAATGATTCAGCTAGAGAATACCTTTCAGGAGCTGGTAAAGAGGTTAACTTTTCTAATCTTTTTTTTTAAACGGATATTAATCTTGAAAAAAAGCGAAATCTATGAATGTATGATATTGAGGACTGTATCCTAAAAGAATCAGGTGAGTCCAACATGAGTGATCGAGCAGTGCGTCTCTTTTTTTTCTCGTGTGCGATGACTCGAATTCTATGAAAGAATATTTGGTGGCTATCAGTAGTTTGGATATAGATATGGATAAAAATTTCAAAAAAAAAAAAAGGGAAAAAATGGACAGAAAGACTCTGCGACATTGCGCGAGTGAAAAATTTCGTGGAATGTGTCCTCGGAAGAGTTCGGCTCGTAATATAATCGGACGATTCCCCAACCGCCAAGATCAACGAAGTCTCTTTGTGAAGTAATAGAAAAATACGTCTACCTTTATATTTTGTCTTTCGAAAAGGTGGAAGAATAATTGAATCGTATCGCGCAGTGTATCTCATATATATTAGTTTTTTAAAAATGAAACGGGAAATGTAATTGTATAATCGTATCATTCTTTCTTATATGCAATAATCGTTGATTTGTCCTTAAAAACAAAATTGCTAGATATTTTGCCAACATTTCATAACTCCGTAAATGGCATTGTGCAATAGTTTTGACAAATTTTGCGATTAGATCGACGACAAAATGTACTTTTGAATGATTGTAATAACAGACAATTGCAGCGGCGTGTATTTCGGCGATAAGAAGCGCAAGTATGAGGTATTAAGTTTTTTTTCAGTAAATTAAAAATATAATTTTAAATGAAAGGAAAAAAAAAGATTGCCCGTACAATGCCCAAACCTCGGCCCTTCCAATTTTTACATGATACCAATGTGAGGATAAATCATTCGCGCGTCACCTCAATGCTTAAAATTATATTTAAAGATTTTAGTATTGTGAAATCTTTATTCAATTTTGACTGCAAAAATTATTTATCTGATGAGTATGAACGCCAGAATATGGATATATGAACAGAGAATTTTCAACGGCGCTTAACTGCCGATAGCGTGGAACGGAACGACATCGCGATCTGTGCGAGCCCTCTTCCGTCCAGTCATTCGGGATCAGAAAGCATCGCATTACCGAGATGATGATAACAACGACCACGATAACAGCGGCGAAAGAGTAGTGCGGCATACCTATATAACTCGCTGAAGCTGCAATAATAATAGTGAATATCGACGGGCAGACTAATCCGTTTTATAATTTTAAGAGGCCGCGAACTATATGAATATATTAGTTGATGAATAGTTACTAGTTTGTAACGACAAATAGCCGAGCTAGGATATTACTTATACATATAAATATATAAATATATAGATATACATTAATTTTTATATCCCCACTTGTTAAAGCGATCCCGCACCGTCGCTACTTTTAAGTATCAAGGATCACCAAACGAATAGATTGTACATTGATAGCTCCATACATTCATGATTGGTGACTTGCGTGCTATAAAGTACACAAGTCACGATATATGTATATCGATTTCAAAGCTGTTATTTGAATACCCTCTCGAGAGCATCGTTAGATGATTTTTCTTACAATTGTTTCGCGAGCATTGCTTTTTTTATTGTCATTTAATTATTGTTGCATCTTTATTTGCAAACTCCAAGTTTATTATCGGGGAGAGAAAGGGGACTACGCATTATCTCCCTTTTGTATAATTTTAGAAAAGATTTTATAACGCATCGTGAAGGAAATAAACACAAGCGGCTTGAAGATTCCCTGAAAAATAATTCTTTTTATACAAGATCACATTTATTACATTTTCGCAGAGTATTATGAGACATGCCACTATAAATCTATGTGATTGTCAACAAACTCGCTGCTCGAGTTTTGTACGGAATTCGGAATATTTCTTTGTTTTACTAATTAATTTGTAAAATAAAGGTACGCAATTACATAATTTTACTTTCATATGATCATAATACCTGTTACAGTATTTTTTCGATTAGATTAGAAACTTTATGCGCTGAATTTCCTATCTTTATTTTCGGTTTATTGGGATTAGAATAGAGCTGTATCTAAGCCGTGACTTATGAGCCAGCAATTAATTTATCAGCATTCTATGTTACATTTTCATTTGCAGTTTTTTCACAGTGCAGGAAAAACGGCAAATAATTATATTATAATGCATGAGATAAGCTGTAGTAATACGGTCGAAGACTAGAGAGAAAGTGTAATGATATATGCGCTCAAAAAACTGGTGAGTTACAGATTAAATTATCACCTAATAATAAGTTAAAGATATGAATCATAATCAGCACATAATGCAGCATCGTAAGATTTGCTATGGGACGGCATTTTTTGTTCTCTCTTTCTATATTGTGAAAAAAAAAAGAAAAAATTTTCCGTTAGAAGAATCTTTATATTTTGATAAAATATCGACATACAAAAATAAAGACCATCTTTTAGATTTTTCTTGAATTTTTTTGCAAAAAATCACGACAATTTTCCTTTTTTTTCTTAACATTTATTGATAGAGAGAACTCATCCTCTAAATAATTTTATTAAAACAGAAACATCACTCTTCAGTATTCTGTATATTCGCTAGAGTAAACGCAATCGTTGCACGCGTAAACAGTATTGTTACAATTGTTGAATTTCTTTAGGAGGATGTACAGTAATGAATGAACGAATAGCGAAAAAGTTTCGAAAAAATCCACATGTCAAATCAAATTTATTCATTTGGGATAAATTTATCCATTGTGGATTTCTCGAAACTTTAATAACGAATATTCGTATTTGTTATTAAAATTCGAAAACTTTTCGTTCGTTCGTTGCGTACTTACTTTTTCGCGAATGATTTATAATAACATATGTATAATCGAGAGAGGGTTACATTGAAGCAGCTTTCATACATTTCACAATTACCAATCGTCCTTATATTGTCTTGTAAGATAAAGGGAAATATCTGCAATGTCATCTTATAATAGACGTTTAGTCGTTCAATTTATTACAGAGATTACTTTTCAAAATATCTCAAATTTTCGTGATTTTCTGTTATTCGATTATTTATATGTAACAGTTAATTAAACAATTTGATATCGTAGAAGATTTGATTCGTTATCTAACTACTTATTTTATTTTATATATAAATCAAGAGAAATCTTTTATATCTTTGTTCCTCTTGCTGCTTTTAAACGAATTTTGAAAACTTTCCCTCTCACGTACAAGAATATACATATATCTGCAACATCATGTACACACATATATATAACACGTTAATTACTTATTCAAATATAGAATTTTTTTCATATACTTTTATTGCGCTATGGAGTCAAAAACTTTTGACTATGATCACTCATCTTTGAACATAATTATGTCTATATCAATCCACAGATAGACATAATAAGAGTATATAAAAATGCTACCATTACAAAATATTTCGAAAATTGAATAGGAAGGCTAAAATCGACTGATAAAGGAAGATATAAAAGACTAATAAAAGTGGGGTGTCATAGCGATCGATAGCGATAATACAAATTATCCCCTCGTGCAATCTGACACGTTTTCAATTAATATTCCACATAAAATCGTATTTTTGGGAAAAGCCTCTATTTTGATTACCTCACTATCTCTATCAAAACTGTGATCCGATGGTCAAATTTACAGTAGCACACGGCTTAATAAGCGTCTTCAGACAAATATACTCCTAGAGCTGTTCACGAGCGAATACTTTGCGTTAATGTAAGCGCGAGCCCTTTTCCGAAAATACTTTTATACTTATACCTATGTCAAAAAGAAACTAACCGAGAAGAATTGTAGAAATCGAATAATGCCAGAGCGAAGTGTACGAGTATAATTATGAATTGTTAGTAATTCTAAGTAGTTTGTCGAGAGTTGCTGCAGGAGATACGGATCGCGCTGTTCCCAGACTTATTATTTTACTTTTCCACACAGTCACATCATGTAAATATATTTTTTATAAACGCGAGATCAATCTTTCCAATAATGCATTTCTATTTCGCCAAATTACTAATTGTAATTGCCAAACAATTTAGTTAAAGCAATCGAAAAGAAACGACTTTTGGTGGTGTATCCTCCCGCAGCAATTCCGCGTATTCCGAGATAATATTTCATAGGCAAAGAACTTAGAGCTTCCGTTTGAATCAAAATTGTCTGGAAGCGTCTTCCTTAATACCACGCGTATGTATACTCTGGTTTCGGCGAGACTTTGCGATTTCACTGTACGTACGTTTGTAAAACAAGAGAGAAAAATGTCTCTACGTATAGAGATTCTGAAAATATCTTTTTCCATTATTTTATCGCTATTATCGTGTCCGTATGTAATTGTAAGAATCTTCAAACGTAAACGAGCAAAATCGCGGTTCAACTGTAATTTTTGCACTCTTATTTTTAAGGGTCGAGGTTTCGGGGCGATGAGATTTTATGAAAAACGATTTTTTTATTTGTCCGATAACGGAAAACTTGCGTTCCCAGAAGAATACCTCTTACACAAAGATATCCCCGAAATCCCTTCAAGCATTCGACTCTTTTTTCCAGCACGAAACTTTTAAAGGCCTGAAAATGTCAGCTGTGTTTTTTTTGCGCGTACTGTAATTTTATATTTATGCAAACTAACGATAACATGTCTGCGTCCAATTTATATATTTCCATTCCACTAAAGTGTCGTACTATTTTTATCTTAGTAGCAGTTTATCCGATTCGATTGATTTGATAATTAATAATTTGAGTATTCATCATGTACGAATGAAAGAGGTCATGCTATATGCAGATTAATTTGTCACGCCTCGCTGGATTAATTTATAAGATATCTGTGGACAGTATAACGACGATCGTAGTGATTTTTGATAATAAAACACGTTCCTAATAAATTATCTGTTCTTTATATCGTACGATTAAGCGTAACGATTGTAAAGGCGATACCCGGATACTGAGTATTGTGGATATCGTTACTTGCTCTGAGCGATGAAATGTAAATTAGGATTAAATGGCCTCTCGTAAAACATAAGAAAGATTAAAGACCCTTGGACAAATTTGCAATTTTTTAAGCTAATCTATAACGCATTATCGTATGAATACGACGACACGTGGGCTTTAACGTTATTCATCCCTCGAGAAACATTTTAGCAATTTGTTTGTTATTATGTTAAAAAAAAAAAAATGTCGCGCACGAGCGAAGTGGAAAAGAAACGAGCCGTTTCGTTAATAGGATGCCATCATTACGATTACCCGTCGGTATTCTTACTATGTTAATTTTACAGAAATACATTGGATATCACGTGTATACACCTGTATACATGTGGTATATCTTAATTTTTTTTTAATCCGCGTCTATTAAAATCATTTAATTCGACTATTTTGTATCATATAACACAATGATGTAGGACAAAAATGTATCTATAATGCGTTACTTAAGTTAAATCATCCTCTCTCATTATCGCACTCTATCTCCATTTCTATTATCTATCTCTCTTTTTCGATTCAGCTATCAAGAATTTTTTTAATTTGCGGATATCGGTGAAAAGAATTATTTGTTTTTTTTTTTTTTTTTTTTTTTTTAAGATGCAACAAACCCGACGTATCGATAATTGTTCTGCTTATTGCGCATGTGAGTGCAACTGGAAATCGATGAACTCTTCATTGTCCGGAATTTTGAGAGATGAATTATTATAAAATAATTAAATATGTGTTAATCTCTTGCGACTATAAGATAACAAATCTTTATCTGCAATGTATGTTGAGGAAATTTCACTTAAGAAAATGATATGTAAACTTGAATCAATTTTACTAGCTATTTTACCTCAAGACAAAAATTTTTTTGAAATAGAAAATAACAAATTTACACATTGTTCTCCAAAAAATATCTAAAAGGCGCTCAAAAAGATTGAAATTTTTATACTTTTTAATTAAGGAGTGCTCCCTCACTCTAAATGATGAATAAAATTTATAAATTGACTTTTGGGCGTCCGAAAATTTGTAAGTTAAATTAATTAATTTTTGATAATAAGGAGTTCGCTGCGAGTTACACGAGTTATATGAGGCGGCCGTGACCGACAAATTTATTCATGTATACACCGTTTTATATACGAGGGGAAAGGAGAGGAAGAAGTCATAAGAAGGATGTCACTTTAGATTAGTCTGCTGTCAATATAACTAGAACGATAATTTTGAATGTAACGTGTATCATACTTGACTATCGCCTAGATAACGAGCAACCGTACCGAATAAAGGAAACTAGCGCACGATTATATCAGATCTTAGGTAATAATAATAAATGATGTCCTGTATGGACATTTTCATTTTTGAAGACTCCTGGGTGAACTTTATTTTCATCGGTTTGTGCATGCGTGCGTGCGTGCGTGCGTGAACGCCTGTGAACCACAAGAGAAACACACATGTTATTTTATACATTGATTATATATGGAAAGATAAAACTTTGTAGATTTCGAAAGGTCACAATAACCATTTGCAAAGTTCATCACTTCATTACCAGACCCGATGTTATCAATACTCCAATACGTAATGTTGATATAATTGTGAATTATCGATTATTTGCGTAATTGATTTTTTTTCTAATCACATTCGCTATATATATATTCTCTAGAGTTGCCAAAAACATATTAAAATAATTTTTAATTAATGTCTTTTTGCCGAAAATGGGAGGAAAATCATTATTTTTATATATTCTTTTCTCTTTTTCAATACTAACTTTTATAGTAAATAATAAGTAATAATAAAAGCTTCGAATAAATAATTTTTGTTAAAATCGGTTATAATCTAGATCTATAATTCTTTTTAGTATTTATATGTTTAACTGCCATTCTAAATGTTTATTTCAGCGTAATTGTATATGTAATATGTAATTCAATTTTTTTTTATTTGAAAAGCATTTATACAAGGATCCGAGGATCCAGTTTGATTTTTTATTCGTTCGAAATCTCGATGATAAAAAGATATATAGATCTAAATATAAACTTAATCTAAAGACAAATTCTATGCAATAATATGTGTCAGCTGTAGCTATTTGCGACAGTTCATCTCTATTTCGGTGATTCTTAATCTTAATTCTTCCGTGATAATAAAAAAGATTAAATTATATGTAAATTTCTTGTGTCCGTGCGACGTGATCGCAGCTGATCGGCTCCAGTTACGTCACGCGTGAGTACGTGACATTAACCGCCGCAGCTGTCATGGCGTCGTCGCTAGTGTCGGTATAGCCTCGACGAGAGATTTCCACGCTGTTTACTCGGATTTCTCGACGTGACGCGATGTTGGTGGCGATGTTACCTCATCACCGTTGAAAATCGCATCTCTGACCGAACGGATCCAGGAACGCAAAGGTAAAACCGCGAGAACGAAGAAACACGGAGCGTGATTTCGCCACGACGAGGAAGCCTGGCCTCCTCCCCCTGTTCCTTTTCTCGCGACGTTTCATATATCGTGTGTTTTAGAGAGTTGCCCGACCTTCGAATGACAGTTAGAGTCGCGGGTGCGATTCGACGAAAGAATCCGGCTTCCTCGTCGGCGAAATGTTCGACTGACACCTGGTGTAATTTCCGGTTTGCTCGGATTTCCGTGTTATGATAAAACGCGATTGTGTCGTCAGTAAGACGCGATTCGCCTCGAAACCTTGAATGTTTGGCTCGATATTATTACAACGTTGTTGATTTACGCGTTAATGATACGTATTAAGGAACCCATAAATGCGCGCGTGCACGAAGGAAGATGTTTATTTAATTGCCAAAGTAACGAGAGTCTTTTCTTTTCCTATAGTTTTCGAGGATCTCACGACGTTTAATACATTCTACAAATTCCTTCGTATCGGGGTCGTTTTTAATTGTTTCATATATATAAGCACGAAAATTAACTCATTTTAATACAATTACATTAAATCGAAAGTATTTTCTTTCGGAGCAATCGCGTGTTATTCTGTAGAGAATCGGGAATCATAAATATTTCTAATTTATTGAAAACACACACCCGATATATTTTTCGATGATACACTTCATAATACGCTGACAATAAGTCATTATTTACATCGCATCTGCATCGGAAAAGACGAACTTCAGTTCGCGAACGGATAGATTACTTTTCTTCTATCATCTAACGGGTGTATCTGAAGCGTGATGGGTCTCTGCAATTCCCGACGATTGTATAAACGACACCACAACCGCATAGTTGCAAAATACACAATCTCCATGAATGACAGAAAACTGAAGCCCATAAAGAGACCCAGCAAGCCTCCCGTACTTGCTGCAAATTATATTCGATTGATTTTAGAGTTTATAATTATAAATCGTTCTCGAAATCGGATACTTACACAGAAATTCGGTGAATCCGTAAAGCTCATTTTTTACGTATTTTGTGAATTGAGAATCTACGAAGAATAGGTGAACTACCGCTATATTTTCCCTGCGTAAATAATTTTAAGGATTAAAATGAAACGTATTACAAAAAAATAGAAATATATCATACGTCTTGAAATTTACAATTAGGCTGCCTGTAAGTATAAGGTTCGTGATAAGAGCATATCGAGGGGAATAATATACATACAGGCGCACATACAAGGTGTCCAAAGAAAAAAAAAACCGCCTTTATTTTAATAACTTCTGTCAAATTTTTCGTAGTCAAAATTGAGTTTGTATTTAAGCTCTAGTGTAAAAGTTTTTTTTTTTTAAAAAAGAGTCTATTTATAAAAATTTCCGGGATACCTTGTATCTTTGAATCTAAATGTCAACCTGTTGCACTCTTTTCTTCGCATTAACAAGTACCGTTTTTGTGATATGTATTTTGCGTTAAAATGAAATAATTACGTGAAATAATCCAAATTCTTCTTCACGTATCGTTTATCGACGTTGAAGGTCGATGCTAATTTATTCTGCGAAAGCTCTATCCTGTAATTGATCTCGAAGCAGCCTGGCCAGCAGTTGCAGCTCGGTCTGCAAAATAAATACATAAAAACTCGTGAGCAATCGCGCGGCTTTTCTTTTTCTAAAAGAGTATACAACTTTGAACAGTAAACTCACATTTTCGTAACATTTATCGGAGTCGTCAAATCCTCGTCATAGAGTTTGGTTTCCATAGCTCGTCTGGCACGTGTAGCACATTGTTCATCTCTTTTGCCGCAAATCGGGGTTTTCGCCGATTCTGCAGACAGTTCCACTGTTATTACAGAAATGTGCTAATATAATACAGAGAAAATAAGGCATTTTTTTCGTTTTGAAAACGATTTGTAATATATTTTCTCGCATTTTTAATTCGCAAACTATATTCGTAATGTTAGCATATATGTTTTAGCATTATGTTTAAGTTGAGAGTGCTTAAACAGGACTTCAAAGAATCTTTTGATTACTTGTAGTTAAGATATATAATAATATTTTATATGACACAGAGAAATAATATTATTTAACAATGTACTATTACAGGGAAATTATGCAATCAACGACCAAGGTAATAATTACTTGGCATGTAGTATTGCACGCAATCGCAAATTTCCTGCGTAAAATTCGCCTCGCACTCCAGAATGCAATTCCTCTGCGTGTACGTCCGGTAGTAACGCAACTTTCTCTCGGCCGTGAAGAAGCATTTCCGCTTCTTCTGCGGTATAGAGATTATCGATGGGTTGGCAGTCGATATTCGCGGTCTTATGATCACCCGGGTCTCCTCGCCCGGCGTGATCGAGAACGAGAAATCGGCGATTTTCGGCGTCTCCACGGGATTGTGGAGCAGCATCTATAGAACGGACCGTATATTTTAGCATCGTCATTTCATTAAGGCGCGTGACTGTACATCATTGTAGATTGGATTCAAGGATCAGTCGATGCCTGAGAAAATAATTCAGTTCACGAAAGAAACTCGTTGTTCATTAATTATTTTATAATTTCATATTTATGTTTATCTTTGCTAATTATTAATTATTTTTCTAGACGACAAATGGCTTCTCTGAAATCATCTTTTAGTAAGATGGAAATCTTGGCTTGCGAGATAAAGAGGAGAATAACAGGGAGGGGGTTTTTGTAGCGCGATACCTTAAAGCCCATGCCAGCGGTTGACGAACAATAATATTCACTTGTTTCCACATCAAGGACTAAAGTCAAACCGTAAAACAGTCCAGCACCATATGGTCTCCACGGTATGACATCCGGCGGCATACTTGCGTCATATCCCTTTTCAGCATTCCAATCGACGCTGACGGATGGATACGTTATATTCAGATCGGGCCAATCGTGTCTAAAAAAATATATGCAAATATAGGCAAATATATGCCCGAGTCGAAAATTTGCTTCTACTTTCTCTCTACAGCGATTAGAAACTAAACTTATAACATATTTCCATTTGTATCTATCAAAATTGCGTAACGCATTTACACGAGCTTGATTTAATCAAGTCCCACTCACGGATTATAGAAGAGATGCTTTCTGGTCACCGAGTTGAAATTGCAGCAAATACCCTCGTCGGTCATCGTAGGATTAAAAATCCTATCGCAATCGGTCTGATTTCCATGCCAAAGACAATAGTATAACATGTCTGTGCAAGGCTGAGATACCTGAACAAAGTAACGAAGAATGAAAATAAGCTGAGCTAAAATATTCTCAATTATCGACTTTTCAAGAGATGGACAGATGTAATTTTAGTTATTTTAGTAATTTAGTTCTCGTAAACAAATTTTAATCATCTTAATGCACATTTTCTCAGTGCGTCTATTTCATGTATGTAGGAAATAGTATTATGCTACGTGCATTAATCATAAACCGCAGCATCCTGTTCCAGTCTATAGCCTGATCTTGATCATAAGTTACGTTGCTTCTTTGCCAATTGCAGACGTCGTCCATCATTATTTTATCCAAGTCGTCAGTCCTGATAATAAAAATCGCATAACAAAAACTTTCGATTGTTCGCATTGATTAATTCCGATAACAGTATAGTTATAATAATAATTGTTGTATACAGGATGACATGTAAAGACCACTCACTAATTACATAACGTTATTCCTTACCAAAAAATGAGTCGAAAAATCCTGAACCATTTTTTTATATAACGCTTAATACAGGAATTATTATTGAATAAAGTCGGGCCAATTAGCGCCGACTTTTAGCCGCACGTCAGTGAGCCACGCGCCTGGTAATGTGCGTGAGCGCTCCGCCGCAACTTGGCCCGACTTTACCCAATAATAATTATTTTATTAAGCGTTATAGAAAAAAAATTGTTCAGGACTTTTCGACTCATTTTTTGATAAAGAATAATGTTATGTACTCAGTGGACAGTCTTTACGTGTCACCTTGTATATATATATAATTATGTTAATTATATATTAATGATAATGAGTTAATGTGTACTTCACCCGCGCTCGATCCGCTTTGCTTCAGCCTTCTTGACATTGTTCATGTTACAGATTGTTATGGAAGGAAAAGGGAATTCGTTAAGAGGAACCGGCTCAGGACTCAAAGAAATGATGATGGGTGATCCATTCCACTTTTGATAAAGATAATAGATATAATATACAGCCGTTCCCAGTGCGGTGGTGAACGAGATTATCCAGAATATTCTACAAAAAATGCGTTTAATATGCTAGAATATTTTTCAGTCTTAGAGTTTTGTGTACATAGTAAGTAATTGTATAATTAATGATGCAATTTCTTAATTATTAATGATATAATATCTACTATATTGAAAATTGTTTCTCGACTCAACCGCTGGAAATTTGTTTCAAATTTTGCGGTCTCTCTGCTCTTCTAAATTCGAATTTTGGACTAATTGTCAAAATATCAAAAATACATCACACTACATTTTTTAAAATCTTTTTTATAGGAATATTTTACCTTTCTATGATTGACAATTCCGAGTTACCGATGTAACGTAAACCGTGAAGGGTACTGTTTGTGCAATATTGCTTAGTAAGCTGACCGAGTTCGGTGAATAGTTGATGCTTCTTTTTCTTCGATCTAACAAGGGTCACGGTAGATTAGATAGAGATATAGCGGGTGTTTAGTTTTAAGAAATTTGCCCTTACCCTTCCAGTTTTTCGTTTTCTTGATCGTTGTTTCTATTCGTGGTTGATTCTTTGGTCCTGAGTAAGTTGTTGTTATTGTACCTCGATCTCAGAGTGAAATCTTGCGATCGGTGCATACCCTAAATTTTTTATGCGTGTACATTAATTATATATGATTAGGATAAATAATTTCTTATAGAGATAAAAAGCAGAAACTATTGGATTAAATCTCTTTAAACTCGTTAACAAAACTTGATATATTTTCTAATAATATTTAACTTGTACTATCGAAAAATACAATTTCCCAAAATATTTAATAAATTATAAAATTATTTTACATTTGTAAAATATTTAGATATATTTTATTTCTCCATTAAATTATTTTTTACACAAATATGATTTTGAATAATAAAAATGCGGTTGTAATATTCTAATTGACAGCAATGTATTATTATCACAAAAAACTTGAAAGACTTTTTAGATTTTGTTAATCCTACCTTTGATTGATCACGAGACGCAAATCCTTCCAATCGTTGGGGCGATCTGTAAGGATTCTGCAGGTGCACAGTATTGATGGAATTGTTAGCTTTCAGGTAATCAAAGGACGTTCTATCGACAGAATTGTAATAATCATTCTCATTTTTTATATCCGCGGACTTGCGGTTGGAGGATCGCCTCGGCATCACATGCGAGTCGTATTTACTTAGATGGGCGAAATCAGGCGTTCTGTTTGAAGCGACGTGCTTTAACATGCGCGCATCGTTCCACGGGTTAAAAGTCGACTTGGTTTTTCTTAGGTCCGGTGATGAATTCTTCATTTCAGTCGTACTCTCCTTTAGCTCATTGTGACCAAATTTCATTCTTTGACGGATACATTCTCTTATCAAGGGACGATTTTACTTCTTGTGACGTAGACTGCTTTATTTTAGGTTGCCTTATTAAGTAAAATATTAATTGCTTATATGAGCATTTCTTTTTCAATACACGAATTGATTATCTTTTATCGCGCTCTTATATTCAAGAGGCTTATCCAATAAGAGATTCTAATTTAATAAATAAGGATATTTCTGTGTGATAATTGTAAAATATTGTCGTTTTTCTCGATTTTTTAAATTTGTTCTCGATTTTATCGTATATTAATTAACTTTTCATCATACGATTCGAAAAGAATCGCAATTTGTGAATTCTGGCAGATAATACTATTGCCTATTTATAAGATAGGAAAAGCCCTTTGAATCCTGTCGCGACGCTTTATCAAACTATCCCCCAAGACGGCTGACAATTGACTGAAAGTGTAACAATAGCGGTCGAGCATCCTCCCAACTTTAATGATGGAATACTCGCAAGCCCTTATGCTATGCGTGTGCGCGCTCATAATCTCCCAGAGATAAACAATAATGTCCAATGTTTTTATACTAACAAGGTATAGTATGCGACACGATCTTAAACTTAATTACGCAAACGTCATTAGGTATTTTTTTTTGGTTTTTTTTTTTTTAGATTTAATTCTAATGGCAGATTCTTTGATTGTATTTGTTTTTCTTGGAAAAAGATTTCTTGATAAAATTATCATTCGTCTCGATTCTTGAATATTAATTTATGTCCGACGGTTTTTATTGACGGGAGAAAAAATTTTAAATTTTAATTTGAAGTTAAACATTATTTAAAAATATACAGCTATATACATTAGCCTAAAATGATAGGGACATACGAGATCGCGACTTATCTGTTATAAATATCTATCTTTTTCATGTCTGGAATGGAATATAGAGTGTTTAAAAATGAAACATAAAAGTGGCGCTTTTTCTCAGTAATCGCGAATATAATATATATTTATGATACAATCCAATACTTTAGAACTGCATTTCTCGAATTGTTTTCAATATTATGGTCACGGGTCCACTGTGTGCATAAATAAAATTTAAAAAATAATACTCTTGTGTGCAAAGAAATGAAATGTCAAACGTGGGTCATTACTATTTCTAATTTTATTCTATCGGGGACGAGCCGTTTATCACATATTAAATGATCGTGCGAAAACATCTGTTCTCCCTTATTTGGCATTTGTATTCGTGGAGTAATCGTTGTGCAAAAAAATATAGTGTTGCTGTAATGATGCATCTCTGTCTTTTTCTCTCTTATTACAAAGTACGCGCGTGTAAAGTACACGGCAATTTATTATCGCCGTTATGATGTTATCGATTGCATCAGACGCATGTATCACTGATGCAAAGCAGGATAGATCGATGCAAGTATATAAAAGCGCATATGTATCGCGTGATTATGAACTGTTATGCGTTTTAACGACGCGATGTTTAACGACGGGACAGGACGCTCTCTTTACTTCGTGTGCGATTGTTATCCTTAAACAAAGATGATATTATTATTTAATAAAAACGTCCATGAATAAGCTTATCTCACATCACTGCAGTCGTATCGAAGTTTTTTGCAAGAGAATTTTTTTATTTACACTAAAATATGTATTATTAAATTAAGAAACCATATGGTCGACACGATATAACAATCAAACAATAAATTGCCAGTTTGGTCGTATAAACACTCGTCTATTAATTTATTTACTGGCGACATCACAAAATTAAACATTAATTAAATTAAGATCTTATTTTATTTTTTTATTATGCGTGATTTTAATTTCTAGAGAATACATTAATATCTTTTATCATGTTTGTACGCGACAATCGTGCATAATAAATATGAATCAGTTTATATTACAACATAACGCAAAATGCCATATTCGACTACCTTTATTATTTTTAAAATCCAGGGATAACTAATTAGACTTTATCGTTATTGTAAACGCGATAATGTTGGCGTAAGATACAATGATAGCAATTGCATAATGAAAAGCCACTTGGAGGTAGTTTCGACATGAGTTTCGACATTTATGTATATAATAAGACGAATTATAAAATTATTACAAACTTGTCTGCGTTTGTCCGGTGGAAATGTTTCGTGACTGTCTCTCTAATAGATCGTCTCAGCGTAATTACAAGACAAACATTCGTGTTATTCTTATCGATGTTCAACGGCACCTTACACGAGTCGCGACCGGTCGCTTGTCCGGCTGATGGTCGTATTATCTTTGACAAAATATGTTTCCCTCGAAGTTCACGGAGTAGAACGCAGTGGTAAAATGATGATGTTTATATCAAAATTATATTGGCAGCGAAGACAATTTATATTTACGATGAACATTGGGCTAATCGGCAATTTATCGTCACGCTTTGATTCGTCAAAATTGATTGAATGATGACACGAAATATGCGCCGAGTATTCGCGAGGGATTAATTAATGTTTTATTGATGTGACTAGTCAATGATAAATGAGCAATGTTTTCCAAATGAGAAGCTATTGAATAATTCACATTAATTATAATAATGCGAGTTTTTTTTTTGTAAAGAAATTTACTATATTTAACAAGATTATATATGCAGATAATGATTATACGCAACATACTGCATACTTTCAATAGGGAAACCTTCGTGAGCAACGACAAGGTCGAATTCTTTCGAGATAACACTCTCTTTGTACAACGACGATACTAGGTCACCGTCGTTTGTTTTGCACTGACAATGTCATAAGCGACGATAATGATTATGCGCAAATGACGAGAGATGTACTTTTTAAATACACACGTGATTCTATCAACTCAATTAATGACGTAGAATCCCACGCGTATATTTATGATATTCTGATAACAATGAACTGTGATATTTCGTAACGTTTCACTTTAAAGTCAATCATGTAATTAATAATTATGTTGTGGAATTATACCGAGTGGTTAAAAAAAATGCAATAGGTCTAGGACACCATGTATTAAAATGAAAAATTAAAAAAAAAACTGGCGATATACAAATTATTATTTTTTTTTTTTCTAATGCATTTATGCATTTTGCATTCCGCAGAGCGGAATCACGAAATAAAATTAAAGCGTAAATCTTGATTTAGTTAGTTTCATGTGGATTTCTTTTTATTTTAGGCAAAATGTCGCGCAGAAACAGAAAACGAAAAACGGAGGAGGAAGAGCAAAAAGTAAACGATGGGGAGCAGGACAATTTTTTCTCCGACGAGATGAAGGAAGAGATGAAAATGATGTGGGAGGTAATTAGGATTATGATTCATAAATCTATCAGTGAATCTCGTTGAGTCGTATAAAAAAAAATCTCATATTCTTTTAGATACCACAAATTTTCCACTTTCTCCATCTAACAAGAGAATCTCTCAATATACCTCAGTTCTCCATATACGAAATGGAGAGGATGCTGTTGATACCGAGAGCCTCGAAGCAACTAGCAAACATCATGACGTGTTTGCTAAGGTTATTATATTAAATTAAATTTAAGATTTATAGAATGATATATACGAAGATGAAAAAGAGATTATATTAAGTAAACGATTTTTTTTTTAAATTGCAGTTCCCCAATTACCAAAGCAAAGCTGCGCAAAGTGCCACCGATGCCGTATGAATTTTGGACTAACATTCTCGCGCATAAGATGGCGAGCTGGTTCAAAGTTTATCACGCAAAGCACAAAGATGCAACCAAAGTGCGTATTTTTGTAAATCACCGTTACGAATCAATAACTGCTTATTTATAGCTTTATATCGAGTATATTCGCGGCGTTTTGGAGATACATATGCACATACATAATAATATACACCGCAGTGACCAGGATGTGAACAAAGACTTTTAGGTTCTAGAAACCATCGGCGTTGAACCAGAATTCTGGGATGTCTTCTCCGATGCCTCATTACTCGATGGGAGATGCTTTGAAGATCTAAGTTTTAAGCAGAGAGTTTGGCTGCTGAAAACCGTCTGTGATACAATCATGGTAAGTCCGTGATAATCTTGAAAAAGAAAAGTAAAAAATCTATTAAATTAAATACTTCTAATTTTTATAGCATACTAGAAAAACAGTTCAGGAAGATATAGCGAAACAACCATGGGAGGATCAGTTTGAAACACTTTTAGGAGTCGATCGTTATGGGACGAGATACATTTATTTTCCGCAATTTATTCCAAACGATCTTAGAATTTACAGGCATTGTTTGAACAATAAAATTTTATCGACTGTCAAGGTAATTATTCTCCTGATATCTGATGTGTTGCTTTTGTTAAATTAAAACTTTATAATAGAATTGTTTATTAAAATTTAAAATTCTTTAAATAATAAAACTACATACGTGTGTGAGTCTGCTGCGTTTTTTGTATAATTTTATCTATAATAGTTAATAATAAATTTCAATTTTAATGGACATCCAGTTTTAAAAGAATAACATTTGATTCTGAAAATTTTTCAACCAAATATCATATTTCATAGTTTTGTTAAATTATTATTTTTATCACGAATATCACATTTTTCAATATGTTATTTTAATATAAAATTTCGAAAGAAAGTTTATTTGTTTTACTTTACATTGCAGCATCAGTGTTCATAGTATAATTAGCAGTACTTAGTTATTGACACCTTAAACCGTTATTAAGAATTTTGTCCTTGGAAAACACGATGTCCATTACAATGAATACTCGGTATCTTTTTAATGGAGAGCTTATATGAAAATAAAACATAATATTTTATATATAGAGAGATCATATGTGTATGTGTGTACGTGTGTGTGTGTGTGTATCTATTATAAATATATTAATTTTATAAGTTATGAATTATTTGTGTTGCAGCCTGTCAAAACACGAGATAAAATGGAAACGGGCAAGTTAATCGGCGCGAAATTGAGTAGATATAAACAAAAAAAATTGCAGTCTCACAATAACTTATCGTGTCGCAGATCAACCAGGCACAATAGTATCAACAATAACGATTTGAATAATTATAAGTGCAGCAACGATAGCACGGATTCCTTTATCAGCGAGGATACTAATTTGAGTAATACGAGCACGTGCACTAATAATAACAACATAAGTTTGAATGCCATAAATAGAAAGCGTTGCAGGAGTTTGTCGAAAATGTCCGAGGAAAGTACGCTATCAAATGCAAGATCCAGTGGCTACGATACCAATACTTTTAGTGATAAGTCTGTCGAGAACGAGTCGTCGTCGATGTTCAAAGGTTTTGTCAACAATCAGAATGATAATTGCAGTATAGGGATAATTAATGAAATGTTAGATGACCTCAAGTCGGAAATCAACGAGGAAAGGAAAACTAACGAGCTTGGGAGCAATAGTAGCGAATTATCATCGCAAGAAAATCTCGTAAAAGCACATAAAAATACAATAGGTTCTTGTGAAATTTTAGTTGTTGAAAAAGATGAGAATGAGAGGTCGAGTGATAATTTATCCAACAGCTCAAAAACGGACGATGAGAAACTGAACGACATAATTAGTGCCGAGAATTCTAAGTTACCTGAAAATGTATATGCCAAAAGTATTTCTGCCAGTGATAATGTAAGTGATATTTCAATATTGACGTCCAAGTCGGATGACGAGAAGCTGAGTGAAACAAAAACCAGTGGTAATAATGTTAGCATGACTTTTAATGATTCATTCTGTGTATCTCCTTCTGTCGATAGTGTATCATTAAGTGAAGAAATGACTAGATGTGATTTTCATTTAAACAAAGTAAAAGTTTCATTAATAACAGAAACATTGGACGATTCGATTGAAAGAAGAAATTTAAGAAAGAGTATACGGCTACGATCTCGATATAAAGCGAGACAGCACAACGAAGAAAGCAAAATTGAAGCAGTAAAAGATGAGGTAAAGAAAGAGGGGAAATTGGAGGCGGACGATAAAATGGATGAGGCAGATGAAAAAAATTTGTCTGCGAGCGAACTAGACTCACAAGAAGATGTAGAATACGTTCTGGATGATTACACAAACAATTCCAATACTGGTTATAATTTGAGAAGATCCAAGGATCCAAAAACAGATGAGTGTAAGAAACATTTTGACAAGATGTTATCTGATCTAGGTGTTTCTGATTTTCGACTAGTAGTCGACACTGTGGAAGGATTAAGGGATCTCATTAGCAGTTTTTCAGCCAATGATTCAGAAAACAATAAAGCAGTAAGTTTGATACGATTAATATTTTCATTTATAATATTTCGTGTCTTATTCGCTAAAGAACTGGCACTTACAGATAGAAGTTACTCCTCTGTGTGAAGTGACATTGGTAATGAAGTTAAACGAATTATTACATTTCCTGGAACCAATGGAGGCAGCTTTGAAGGACACAATGCGAAAAGCGAGGGCAAAGCTTCAAAGGGAATGGTCTAATTTTAAAGAAGGGTATGTATAGCAGCACACAGCTTCCATTTTTTTAAATTTCACATTGTCACACATTGAAACAATCGTAGAAATATATAATGAAAAAAATAGAAAATATTATTTCACTACATCTCATTTAGTTTTAACTCACATCTGCAATATTTCTTCAATTAATAACGTCACGTGCATCTTTTTCCTATATATAGCCATTCATATCTTTGTAGTTTAATTTTTATTATCTGGAGAATTCAAAAACTACCTGACGCCTCTTGAGATTGCTACAATCCATGTGTGATATATAATGTGGCCGGTATCCGCATTTCTCTTCCAGTAACATTAATGTCTTTGTCGAGCGTATATGGCAGACAAACTGATGGTGTGTTGTAGCAATGTGGAGGATCAGGACTCATCCAGTGAGGGTGGTCTCAGCTCTAATTGGTGGGTTCTTGGATCGCAGGGCAAGGATCCACTGTCAGTTCCCGGAGACGCAACGTTACAAACGTTACCGCAACTTGCCCTATCCTCACTTGGCACCCAAAACGGCCAGCAACAGCGACGATCAACCGAAGGCGAAAACACGGTCGAGAATTCCGAGCAAAGTCGCCGCAAGAGTCGGGAAGCGAGTGGCGATGAACGGCGGAAAGGAAACGGCGAAAAATCATCGGACGTCGAGGCGTCACCGACAAGAGGAAACCAAGTTGAGGAGGGAGGAGAAAAGCGGGAACACAACAAAAAACACGGAGAAAATGAAAGTCCGTCGAATGACGAAAGTAATTCCTTTTATCATTCTTCCATTTTCCGTCTGGCAATCGTCTTGCGTATTTTTCGTATCGAGAACAATGCAATACATTCTTTGCAATTTTTCCAGATGCGGAGCAACAGACGCGACGAGTACTACGAACACGCGGAGTTTCCTCGTATACAGAACAATTATATTCAGACAACGAGAGCGACGAGGACGAGCTGGAGGAATGGACCGACGTTGAGGCAGTCTATGCGGCTCCCGGCGCACAGGACGATACATCCGCTTCTCACTCTAGTTCGAAAGCCCGATACTCTGACGATCACTCGGAAGAGGAGGACTCAGACCAAGATTGGATTCTACCGGGCTCTCGCAAAAGGAAAAATAAACGTCCGTGTAAGTGCTGAATCTTCGAGGAAATTTAAACTGTCGTATTATTTTTCTTGCTTTATTATTTATTTATAGATTTTTTTATTTAGAATTTGTTTTGTTTTTTTATGATGAAGTTTATTTTTGCTACTATTAATTAATTTTATTATAAAAATAAAAAATACTTGTTATTAATAGAGAAATCCAAAAATATCTGATAATCTCTCATTCAATTCTGTTGTAACTTGTAATATTTATATTATTTCACAGCTGCCAATCGAAGATTAAAATCGTTTCAACATAAGGTGCAGAGCATCACGGAGAATACGTTTCAGAACAATGTGGCGTCTGGTATGCCTCATTTTGCTAATGCGAAAACTGGCAAGGATAAACTTAAGAATAAACTCACAAATAACAGGGAGATTAGAGAGAAAACGGGTAACTCGCGAGATAGACACAATGGTGGATCTAATATCATCGTGTCCGCAACGAACGAAGTGTATCCTAAGCGAGCAATGTCGTCCACGAACGCGGTTTGCAAACTCGAATCTGTTGAGAGTGTGCATTCAGAACTGGATATTAAAGACGAGGGTCCGATCTATGAGTCCGGCGCGAATCATTATGGACAAAGCAATTATGGACCCGCGAATCCACAGCAGAACTATTATTATGTGATGCAGCAGAATCCTGGAATCGCCACGGGAGGAAGTGTCATGTCCCCGCTAGGAACTTCGATGATGCAACAGAATGTGATTGTCCAGGGAGTCGAGTCGCCACAGGTTCAAAGCTACTATGTGCAACCAGGCGCGCAACCGAATTACGTGATGCAGAATTCACAGACAAATTTTCTACCCGCCGTTCAACAACAACCCGTCTTTCAACAGCAAGGTTCACAGATGGTAGTGACTCAACCATATGTTAACAACGTGAGTTATGTACCTTATATAGTAGCCACGAGTACGCAACCTCAGGAGTACATGGTCGGACCAACGACGAATCAGCAAAATCCACCAAAACCGCAGAATAGAAGCAATCAGAACAATAGATATATGACGACGTCGCGACAGAGCTCGCAGCATCCTAATAGTACAATGAGAGGCAATAACACGCCTGTCAAAGACACTTGTCAAAGAGCCAATAGTTCGAAACCCACCGTTCCTCAACGCGCATCCAAGACAGTGCCGCGGCGGAGAGCACCGCAGACATCCAACACGGAGAATAGCGGCCAGAAGACCACGTCTCTGATCGTGCTCAGCGATAGCGACGATGAAATAGAGATGATCATCACCGAGAAAACTAATACCACGGAGAAGGAGACTAGATCGGTGCAAGCTCAGAGAAATGTTAATGAGCCTAGACAGAAGCCGGTAATCACTTCGGACATCACTGTCGCCTCGGGGAAGGGCGTCATCTCGCCGCAGATCATTCAGCGAATGAGTCAGGGTGGCATATCCATTACACCAGTGAAGAATACACCTCCGCCACCGACGACAAACACCAATACGCAATTGGTAGTAGTCGTGAACGAGACCGGAAGCCACTACGCCCTGGCACTACCCAATGGCAGCAAATTAATACTTACTCCGGAGCAGGTAGCGCAAATCAGAGCCTCGAATGGAGGAAAACTGATCTTGTAAACCGTGTAATAATATATAGCAAATACTGATCATCCTGGACTACATATGTATCGTACATGTCTCCGTTTTGCTTTCCGATTCGTCGTGATTGAAGATAACATAAGATATGATACACGTGTGAATCGATAACTTTGTTTTTCAAGTCGTTTCCCAAATTGCGATTACGAACTGCCAGAGAGTGTTACAAATTGAAGATTCTTTGAATATATTTATGCTGATTATGAAGTAAATTTCTACAGGCGAGATATTCTTCGTTACGTGATGTATAATTTTATTATTGTTTTTTAGTTTTTATTAGTTCTCTCTCGCGCTGTATGTACAATATATATATATGCGTCGGGAAAATTCGTATCCAACTTTAAATACTATCTTACGATGAATAGTTACGAAAAGATGAATATTACATCTTTAGACATTAACTCTCGAAGTTTTACAAAAAGTGTAGCGAATAAAATATTAATTAATGTGCGCATATTTCGCATATTATAGCACGTTAAATAATGATTGATTTTTACATATAGAGAGTAAACTATTATTCAGAAAATAACAAATTGCTATTACATGTATCGAATTTGAAAAATTATCATCGCCCTTGTTTCCTTATACATACACACACACGCACACACATTTAATATCATATTAAATAATTAATATTTTTCAACTAAAGCGATATTAATTAGATTTTAATCAAGATATCTCTGCGCGCACGGGCCTTTGTTCAACTTTTATATATACATATAT